ATGTCTCACGAAAGTTTAAACAATTTAATTACATGTGGTGTTTTGTAAATTACAACGTTTTTGTTTCTAAAATACTGAATGATAACTATACCTTCTCCAACGGCAATAACGCGTGGATGTCGCGATGCCAGCATAGGCGCGAAAGCCACCACTTCGGAGTCGAGGCTCTCGACCAGCAGGTAGTAATCGGACACGGCCACGTCACGCAGCGCCGTGTGACTGCCGTCAGAGAACTCAATGTCGATGTCCAATAAGCCCTCCTGTAAATGTTTACTTTTTATAACTGCTGAATTAAATTAAAGATATACTTTGCACTTTTACATTCATTGTAAACCTACATTGTGTTTTTAATTTTGATTTCCTAGACAAACGATATAAAACACATTTTTAACTAGGATATGAATAAAAAAAACACCAAATTGTTAAATTCAACGTATTATTTTCTGTTGGCTAATTTATCGGTTTTGCGTATACTTGTTTTCTATTGTCATATGTAATTGTGTATTATGCTTTCCTTTAAAAGTCTACCATAGATTTGGGAAGTAAATCAGATTCAGAGCTTAATAAAAAGTACAATCTACTAATATTTTTCAACAGAGAGCTCATTAAAGCAGACATAAATCTATATCTTAATTGGCAACATTTCTTATTAGTTATCGTCTAAAACAAAAACCTATGTCCTTTATTTCTTATGCGATATATTCTCAAATATTTTTACAAAGAACCTTCGTTTCCTTTGTTCTACCAAAAATAAACTTTTGCCTATTTCATAAGAATAAAAAATATCGACTGATAATAAAAAGCTGCGTATGGTACATCGTATTCAATACAAAATAAACAAAACAATCAGGGCGTGGTGAAATAATAAATTTAGGGAGAATGTATTTGGTATATCAGTAATACAAACGATGTATTCGCTCTTGTTATTTCAATCTGTAAAAAAGAAAGATTTGTATTTTGGTATGTAACGAAAATACTCGAAATCTACTGGGCCGATTTCAAAAATTCTTTCACTGTTAGAAATCGGTATTCTCAGTAACATTGGGTACATTAATATTTTTTAATTCCGAGACAAAATTACATTATCTGAGACATTAGCTGTTCAAATATTAAATGTGAATGTTCAAAATTGTAATACAATGACAATAAATTTAAGAACAGAGCTTTTACATGCAACTTTATGCATTTTTCTTCTTTAATAGCTATTTCCTTGACATCTCTAGAGATTACTTTACGAGGAATTTTATCCAGAAAAGTATTTTTCGACTTTAAAATATTGCGGTATCTAAAGTTATTAATTGTTTGCTAAAAAGATCCTAAAGTTAAGTAATAATCAACACTGAAAAGCGTAGATACTAAGCAATCATATCATTTTGTCATTTGACTTAAGTTACAACTAACTCGTAACTTAAAAGATACGTTCTTATAGGTCACCTCCATTGACCGCAACAATAAGTGGTCACGCAATATGACGATTAATACACTTCATTTCAAATATTATAACATATTCATGTTCAAACGACTCACAAAATACAAACTTCAACAATGAAAGAGTTATACACGTAATAATGCTTGTTTTTTGTTTAATTAGGAATAGATTTAAATCATTATTAGAAATGATTTAGTTTGATATTTAAACATTTTTCCAATAACTTTTTAAATATAGGACTGCTTAAGTAAACATTAAAGTTACTAAGTACTTCTTTAAAGTTTATATACAAGTTGTGTCTTCCAGCGGTCCTATTATTTTAAAAGAAAAAAGGTTTTAAATGTTCCCAACGTAAAAGGTTCTCAGTTTAAAAGTAATCATGTACGCTATCCTCAGAAGTTACAAAGTAATTTCGCAAACAACTTTCCTATCCGTTCGGATCTCTGGGGAAATTCACAAAATCTAGTCTCATCCTGTACAACTCCTAAAACGGAGAAACGTCTGAAATTCCTCCGTCTTAGGCTTAAAAGACCTAAAACTTTGCGTATATAAAATACGAATGTCTTTATATTTATAAAAGTTAAGAAATATGTGAAAAACTTTCTACATTTTTTCAAATGCTATGAAAACGTGCCATTTCTTTGGCTGAAGAGCGAAGCCGTTAAAGTTTTTATTTCGTATTTGCCAGTTTAGGCCAAGGTTATTCGATACTTAATGATGAATGAGGCAGAGAAGCTTCCACTACTAAAACACACTAATTGTCGTAAATTTCTGCTTAGTTATTTTACATGAGATTTTTAAAACATTTTACAACACATTAATGTATCAAAGTTAATTTCGATACTAAATATGAAAACAAAAGCAAAACATATGTGGATAATAATTGTAGGGTTACCTGGTACTGAGCCGTGAGTCGTCTGGTGACGGTTGTTTCGGAGACGTATCCGTTCTCAATAGCGCTATCTGGTGAGATGTTCAGCTGCAGGCCAGAGATGACACGCACCAGCAGCCGAGAGATCGTCACTTTGTCATTCACCACACGCACTTCACGGAGACCGATCACACGACCTATACAAATGTATCTTATGTTTCTCTTCGTTATACTATATAAGACCAATTGTTCCGCTTAGTATTAAAAATCGACGAATAATTAGAGTGTGAGTCCACGTACCAGTAATAGGTGACAGAACTTGGACTTCCGTGCGTCCAGTACTCCTGCCTTGTAGCACGCGGTCTCTCAAGGTAGCGATGCGGGGGTCAGAGACACGGAGCAGCGCCAGCACCAGCTCGGTTACCTGCAGCCACGTGCGCCGCGACACCAGGTACGACACGCGACCCGAATCGTGGTCCTTCGCAAGGAACCGAGCGTAGACCTATAGAAAATTATGTGTGTAAAATTCTATTGCGGTGTCTATTAATGTCAGAAGATCATCGCATCGTAGATACCTATAGTAATCTACCTCGCTTCTTTATCTTCGGAAAAAGAGTTCATGATTGAAACAAAAGAACCTCGACAAAGTTCCAATTGAACCATCATATATATTTTCGGTGTAAAAGATTGTTAACAAACCTCGACATTGCTTTGCTGATATCTCAACCGACAGGCTCGTTGTTCAGTGAGTGAGTTGGTGCCATCAGGACGTGCGCCGCCCCATCCTCTAGCCGACAAAGAGCGCTTCAGTCTGTCCTTAGCGTTCGCGTCATCTGGTACTTTCCAACCTAAAACATACAACATAGTTAAATTACTTCATCTAGAGATGAGATAGGAGTAGGGGAATACAAGACAAAATCTGAAGTACTACAGTCGTCTCGGTATAAAGCTTAAATAGAAATACAACTAAATATAATACATACATTTTTATGCAAAATAACAATACAGCAAAGTACATAATGTTGTTTTACATTCATATAATTTCTTTAGAACAGTACAGTAGTACTTTATCTAAAATTCCCACAGCCGCAGCTGGCGTATGTGAATATATACTTAGTTTTTTAAAGTGCAGTCTTCACTTTGACTCTTGCATTTTCATTTTATAGCTCTCCATATTCATTACTTTAATATAACTTTTATAAAAAGCACTTAAGAGATTTTTACGTATTTAATTTCATTTAAAAGAATTACGTGATAATATCAGATTATAATTATGATTATTAACTAAAACTATTTCTGAATACCTTACAATTAAAAGTATTTATCAAAAAAAATGCGATGTAAATTACAATAAAAATATATAATGCAATACTTTACGCTTTTATGACATCCATCAAATATTACGTAAGTGCTTTCCAAACATACTATATACCTTTGATTTGCGAGAGTCGATTGTCGTCGACGTCGATCTCGAGTGGGTACTCCGGCATCCAGACGGTGAAGCGCGCCAGCCCGGTGTACGTGCCATACTTCACGATCACGGACGCGTTCGACGAGCCCCGGATCTCGGAACCGTCGACGTACACAGAACTACACGACGATGATACCTATACACACCAACATTATTGTAAAAAAAATTGCCAATCGAAATGAGAATCTCCTTTTTATAGGCCTTTACAAAGTCATTCAAACGCAGGTTAAGAGCAGACGCACGCCTTTCACTAAACTATCGACAACTGTTGTTGTTGTCGATTGTTTCTCAGTCAATTCAATTGTTTAGTTGCACAACTAATAATCGAGTAGTGTTATAAGCTCATAGGAAGAAAAGCGCGACAAAACAGCTGTGCGATAGTTTAGTAAAAGGTGTGTGGGCACTCTGAATACAAGACAGAAGAAGGTAGAGAGAAAAATTGCTTATTGGGGACCTATAGGTAAAGTTAATTTTCTTTAAAGAGTCTCTAAATTTTCTCTATATGTCTCAAAATCTCTAAAAAGTCTCTAAATCTACTAGTGTTAATATGCCTATAAGATCCTTTTAATTTCTATTTAAATTTCTTTCTATTTTCTATTTTAAATTCTATTCGTTAGCCAAAATTCGTGACACTCATGACCCATATAACCTTGCTTAAATATCATGTAAGCCTGCATTTATTCAAAATATACTTCAGTTCTTACAAAATGTAAACGAGTAAACCGCATCACATAAAGAGATTTGCTCCCCAGTAAAGAACACAGGCCATCAGGCAGCTTGCCAAAGCATTACCTAAATGGATACAGATATTTACTACCTTTATCTGCATGTATAAAAAATGTTTGCAAACAATAATTCAGAATACATTATAAATCTTTCAATAGATTTTATAGTACAACGTTTGAATTTTCCTAGATGTACAATATCTGTAAAAACACTATTTTCATTTGCTATAATAATGTCCCCTTGCCTTCCATTTTAATAATTTAAAAGACTAAATTGTAATGGAAGAAAGTTTTCACTTTGCAACACAAGAGACGGCTGACATTTCGCTCTCCCAAGAGAGCCCTATTGCTTTAACCTGAAACTTTATTCAAAGACTTTAAACTTTAATATAATGGAATATACATTGTATTAACAAAAGACATTAGAAACATCAAAAGTATAGAAGAAATTACATTTAATTCGTTTCTACTTAAATTGGTAATAATAAAAGCATTATTATGTAGTATTACGCCGTTATGATATTGACTTTGCGGAAATATAGACAATCCAATAACGAAGTTATGTCTGAGAGAGATGAAATTAACCAACTTTCAATAGAAAAAACGCAAATAGATTAAAAACAAATACAATCTGATATTTACGGCATATTTAATTTAGTTTAGTTTGTTAGAATTTAAACTACAATAAAACTAAAAAAAAGAATTGTATTTGAAGTGTCCGTAAGCCAAGCTATAGTGGTCCCATCTTTACGAGCGACATTTATTGAAATGGCCATTTTGTGGTGGGAATTCTATAACTATTCGATTTTTTCTTCTTTCAATTACGTTCGAGAATGTTTTAGTTTAAGATTATAACCAGCACCAAAGAATTTTAGTTATGTGATTTAATAAAAACATGTTATTAGGAGTTTTGTTCTGACATTCCAAAAGGGATTTTAACCAATACTTTAGAGTTTTAAATACGCCATATTAATATAAAGCATTAATAGGACTTTACTACTGGAACACTAGAAAAAATAAATATTTTCTGTTTTTTTTTTTTTGTCAGACAGTAAGACACGACTAAAAGTGTTTCGGGAATGAAAACCCACAGATATACAACAGCTCGTCCTTTGCATCTATTGTAATCTTACAAACTCGACCTTATCTTAGCCGACCCCAATTTCATTGAGTGCCGTTATCGCAAGGAAACTACTTGCCTTAAGCACGCTCTCATCT